TGCTATTGGTATTTCGAAAGAGATTTCATTGAATCTACAGATTGCTTTGGGTAGTATGGCCATTTTAACAATGTTGATTCTTCCTGCCCATGAACATGGTATATGCTTCCATTTATTTGTATCTTCTTCAATTTCTTTTTTCCATTGACATAATTTTCTGAAAATAAGTCTTTTACCTTCTTGGTTCATGTGATTCCCAGGTATTTTATAGTTTTTGATGCAATTGTAAATGAGATTGTTTTCTTAATTTCTCTTTCTGAAAGATCATCATTGGTGTATAAAAATCATTGATTTTTTTTTTTAAACTTAGCAGAATTCTCCTGAGAAGTATCAAGTTGTTGTATGTATCAATAGTTTGCTTCTTTTTACTGTTGAACAGTAATGCATTATATTGATATACCATAGTTTAACTGTTCACCAATTTAAGGACATTTAGGTTGTTTCTAGGTTGGGGCAATTACTAAAATGGTTGCTATGAACATTTGTGTATAGGTTTTTGTATAAACACAGTTTTTCATTTCTCTGAGATAAATGCCCAAAAGTATAATTGCTAGGCCATAAGGTAAGTGTCTGTCTAGTTTTATAAGAAACTGCCAATTATTTGCCATTGTGGCTGTACCACTTTGCACTCCCACCAGCACTGATGAATGGTCCAAGTCCTCCGTATTCTGTATCACTACTTTTTCATTTAAGCCACTCTGAAGTATTATATAATATCTGATTTTAATTTGCATTTTCTCAATGATAAATAATGTTAAGATCTTTACATATATTATATGCCATCTATGCATTCTCTTCAGTCAAATGTTTGTTCATATCTTTTGCCTATTTTCTGATTTTACTTTTTTTTTAACTTTTGGGTATTGAGAGTTCTTAAAATATTATATATACAAGTCTTGTTGATATATCATTTGTAAATGTTTTCTCCCAGTCTGAGGCTCATCTTTTCATTCTCTTAACAGGCTTTTTAAAATTTTTTCTATGTCAAATCTCAGATCAAGGTGGCAGCAAGACTGGTTTCTTTTGAGGCCTCTCTCTTTGGCTTGTAGATGGATGTCTTCTCCCTGTGTCTTTGCATGTTTTTTCCTCTGTGCACACTGGTATCTTCTTATGTGCCCAAATTTCCTCTTCCTGTAAGGACACTAGTCATATTGAATCAAGGTCCACTCTAACAATGTCATTTCAACTTAATCATCTCATTAAAAGCCACATGTCCAAATACAATTACATTTTGTGATTCCGACAGAAATCATCTGGGTCTCTGATTTGTATTAAATATTACTTTAATCATAACACTGTGTGGTAACAACCAAAACATTACTTCAGGGACAGAAAATTTGTTCTTCTGATAATATATGTTTATTTTCTCTTAATAATGATAACAGGCAGGAAGTTTCCTATCAGGGCTGGAGGGGAAGCCGTAGATATCATCCCTGGGACAAAAGAGATGAGATGCTATAGACTGAAATATTGTGTTACAAGTATATTCACTAATTTTCTAGAAAAAAAATAAAAATTCTGGCAAGATGAACTCAATAAAAGAATAGTGAGGGCTGCAAATTGTGGTTTTAGTACTGGAGGAGGCTGACTGGCTTTTACCATATTGCTTCTAGTCCACCTAACTTTCCACCCTCAAACTTGAGATAAACCAAGTAGAAAATATAATTATGATTCAAAAGACTTAGGCCAGGAAGATGATACATTTTCTCTTGAGAGCAACCAGAAAAGATCTGAACTTTGAAGTAGATGTGGAGGAAAAATGGCCTCCTAAAGATTACATCAGGGTCTCCTGGGGCCATAAAAACAAGTGCTCTGATTCTTCTCACATAAAGCTGCCACCTGAGGCTCTATTAGCTTCATACTTTATTTGGAGAAGATGATTTAAGACTTTGGGGAGATTAAATAAGTGTTCCATCTCCTTCACAGGAGGGGTTAAGATAAAGTATTTATTAACAGCCCAACTGGCTGGAAAAGCAAAAACTCTGGGGAGTTGCTTTCTTCATTAATAACCTCAACAGCTTTGAGAATAAGTCATATGATCTGAGTCTTCAGGCAGGACCCAAGAAATCTACTTCTTATTCCTAACAACTAAGCTTTGGTGCATGTGAGTATGGGGAAACATCTAGGAGACACAGAAAGAGGGCATTAGGAGCTGCCTAGAGAGATGACAGGGGAAAGAAGGAAAGGCTCTCAATGTATGCACAGATTTCAGTCTGAAGCTGGTAAAACTGGGAAGGGAATTGGGCATGAGTACCTAAGACCTTTCATGCCCAATGGTATGAATATGGTTGACCCTCCCATATGTCTCCATATTCTTTTTAAGGGATAAACACAGAGGCACCTCTTGTTCTGTAAGACATTTAAATAAGGCAGAAAAGGGTTATAACTGTAAATGGTAGAAGGTTACCTGAACTTTGACATACTCAACTATGTATTATACCTCTTGGTTCTATCCTCTACCTTCATAATGCCTTTTCTTCCCTGTGATCTTTCCTTAGCTTTCGTCTCTTCCCTAAAGGTATTTCTTCTTAAAAACCAAGTGAAGCTCCTTGCTGAAGACATTTGAATTTCCCACAGCATGAAGTAAAGGTAGATTTGCATGGAATTCTTGGGGCTAGAAAAGAAGGAACTGAGTTTGGAGTTTATGGCAGAATAGAATTGATCCCTCCCATTTTGGGTAGCTTTCTCTGTAGTAATTTACTACTTTTGCTACATAATCTTTTACAAGAGGGCATTATTCACAAAATCACATTAAGGGTTTGAGTAAAAGGTCATTGTGGACAAGACAGAGAAGTAAGGAGAATAAAGTTGTATTTAAAGAACGTAAGAGGAGCAGCTTTGGAAGATAATATTTGCATTCAGTGACTAAAGAATAAATATCAATCATATTTTAAATAAGCACTATATTTTGGTTTATATCTCTCACTCCTGGGGACAGAGTATGGAGAATTAGAAGTGATTCTGTCAATTTTCCATCCCTTATGGTAAGGCAAAAAGGACTGAATCATTACCTCAAGCCCAGATGTCTGGCATGTCATCACTGCTTAAAATTTGTAGCTAGATCTCATCTGTTCAGGTACATGATGAGAGGATGGTTTTCTCTGGGAGTATCTTAAGAATGTATATGGCAAAATAACTTCAAAAATGCATATCTGAATATTTAAAAGTCTCTAATTTGAGCAGAAAAAAAAGCATCCCAATGAAACTGTTCTGGTATGCGACAAGAAAAAAATAGGACATTTACTCCAATTCAGCCAAATTTACTGATGACCCTTGATTTCCTCCCAGGTAAATATATATCTCCCTCAGACTTCCTCTTTTGAGTAAATGACTTCTCCGTTATCTTATTTGTTCAAACCAGAAATCTAGAATCATCTCACTGTTTTCCTTGCATGCCCATTTCCAACATATCAGCAAGCCTGCATCAAAAATGTATCTTTTTCTGTTTAAATTTTCTTCATTTCCACTTCTGCTCTCCTAAATCAAGTCACCATTACTCTTTGTATGAATTATTGAGATAGCTTTCTAACTATTTTTTCTTTTATCTTGCTTGATTATCTATTCCTCACATAGAAGTCCAAATGATAATTAAAAACTGCAAATCAGGATATGCCAACCTTGTCATTATGATTTTTAAACTCTTGAATGTCTTCTCATTGCATTTTTAGTAAAAAGAAAGTTTCTAATGTTATCTATAAGGCTTATGAAACTACTGCCTTGGTCTCTGAAATCACCTATTGTCCCTCTTCTATTTGTTCACCAAGCTCCAGACATGCTAATTTTCCCCTCTCAATAGAACAATCTTCCTCTAGATCTTCATATGGTCAATTCTTTTTGCTAGTCAGCTCTCAGTTCAAATGTCAACTCCTCAGAGGTGCAGTCTCAGATCATCCAAACTACTGTATTAAACTGTGTGCAATACCATCCTAATCGATCTCCACTAAATGGTGCCATTTTATCTTAAAATTGCACTTACATTAATCTAAGTTTTTCTTCTTTATTTTCTAACTTAATTTGTGGCTTATAAAATTAGAGACTTAATTCCAATGCTTAAAATGCCATGTCTATCACAGTGGGTGCTGAAAAATATTGGGTAAATTAATGTATATACATGTAATTGTATATATGTATGTGTATAAATGTGTGTACATACATATAGGTGTATATATACATTTATATATGTATACATATGTATGCATATTGGAGATACATATATAGTGTGTGTGTGTGTGTGTGTGTGTGTGCACGTGTATGTGTGAAGATACAATTTGCAAACTGAAGGAGAAACTCTATTATGAGCCATGTCTTTGGCTGACCTAAGCACTCACTCCAGCCCAAGGGCCTATGAATATTTAACTTCTAATTATTCTGGCTATTGTAGTGAGTACTGAGTAGTTCTGCCATGTCCAGGAAGAAGCTAATAAACACTTAATGTAAACATATTTGTTTTGTTTTCAACTCTAACCTGTGGAATTGGAGGTAAAGTTTCTCTTTCATATTTTTCTTCTCCTTAGTAACAGTGGCAGTGACACAGCTTTTCTTCCCACACTTTCCTCTAGGCTCTTGGCTCTTTTTTGAGAATCTAGGGAAATTGTATCTATGCAGGATAGCATGAATTAGAAATCACTATTGTGAAGGCCATTACAGCTTTGGGTAGTAGATTGGAGTAAGGTAAGGGTTGGGTTCCTTGAAATCCTTCAAGTATGGATCTCTTCTGTGAGCATTTCATAGTTGTTAAAAATGGTTTCTGAGTTTTAATGTGCATCAACGATTTCCTGAGGAGCTTGTTAAAATGTATATGACCATATGAAACTCCAGGAATTTGGGTAGGTTGGGGATGGTCCCTGGAATATGCAGTTAAAAAGACAAAAGGTATAGGTTGTCCTAAGAATGTTTTGAGAAACAATGGCTTATATTGATATCATTATTACCTTTAACATAGAGTTACATTTCCATGGTAACAACTGAGAAAAAAGAACATTTCTTCTGGATAAACCATCATGTTGTACAACAGCAGTTCCAGTTTCTTTCTGTTGACTGGTTTTCCAGGCTTTGAGGCAGCTCACCACTGGATTTCCATGCCCTTCTTTATTGTCAACATCTCTGTCCTTCTTGGCAATGGCACTCTCCTTCTTCTCATTAAGGAATACCACAATCTTCACGAGCCTATGTACTATTTCCTGGCCATGTTGGCAGCCACAGACCTAGGGCTGACCTTGACAACAATGCCCACAGTGCTGGGAGTCCTCTGGTTGAACCGCAGGGAGATTGGAAATGTAGCCTGCTTTTCTCAAGCCTATTTAATACATTCACTTTCCTTCGTAGAATCTGGTGTTTTGCTTGCGATGGCCTATGATCGTTTTATTGCCATTCGCAACCCCCTTAGATACACCTCCATACTCACTAATACTCTGGTGGTGAAAATTGGGCTAGGAGTTCTGATGAGGGGATTTGCATCTGTTGTCCCTCCAATTTTACCTCTCTATTTTTTTCCCTATTGCCATTCCCATGTCCTTTCTCATGCATTTTGCCTTCATCAGGATGTCATTAAACTGGCCTGTGCTGATACCACCTTCAATCGATTGTATCCAGTTGTGGTTGTAGCCCTTATATTTGTACTGGATTCTCTGATTATTCTCATCTCCTATGTGTTGATACTCAAGAGTGTCCTGAGCATTGCCTCCAGAGAAGAGAGGGCCAAGGCCCTCAATACTTGTGTCTCCCATATCTGTTGTGTCCTGGTTTTCTATGTCACTGTGATTGGATTGTCTCTAATTCACAGGTTTGGAAAGGAGGTTCCACATATTGTCCACCTCATTATGAGCTACGTCTATTTTTTGTTCCCTCCACTAATGAATCCTATAATTTATAGTGTCAAGACCAAGCAGATCCAGAGTGCCATTCTTCACCTTTTTACCATCCATAGAGTTGAAGCCTGATCTCTGACCATCACAGTCCCTCATGCAGAATGTGAGAACTCTGGTTTTTGACAGGAGAGCAAAGCAGTTTCATATCAACCACACTTGATGAGATCTCTTAGTAAACTAATTTTCAAAGCAGAGCTACAAATTGCCCTAAGGTATCTCTTTAAACCCAGGTCTTCGGCCTAATTTTACAATTAAAAAAACCCTGTATACTAAATATGTCTATTTATTTGCCACTTAATTTTTGTGATAATAATACCTTATGTTTTTATAGATGTGTCTATAATGTAACTAACATATATTTCTTTGTGCTTAGAAAAGTAGCAGATAGAAACAGAATTATAAAAATATAAAATTATAAGTTTATTTGGGTGAAACAGAGTAAAGTGTGGTTTATTTATACCCAATCCAATTTCTAACAGTGTTGTAATTACCATGTCAACCACCTCTTTAATTCTTCCCTTCTCTATCAAATAATCATAACTTTGTCTCAAGAACCATAAGCCTATATTTATTCCCTAAGGCAATATCTAATTATAAAAAATTGTTTGAGGTAAGAGAAACCATGAACAAATGAAATCGTCAGTACCTCTTTCCATTTTTGTCTTCATTTTTATCTTACTATGCCAATTTTTAGCTCTGATGTTGGTGCCATCTCCAGAACATCTACCAGTGACTAATTAGTTTGAATGGAAGAGATAGTTTACTCCTCCTCCTTTTGCTATAAACAAGGCCTGAGAGACTGAAACAATAGGTTTACACATTTTTTGAAAAAACAGTCTGTTTCATACATATATCATGACTCCATTTTATAAATTATGAATGTCTCAAAGAAGAAAATAATATTATTCTTATTTGATTGAAATTTTATGATGAATCAGGAAGGGACCTGTGACTCAAGTTAAAATATCTTCAAAGACTGGCGGCTGTGTCTTCATTATATCTCAATCAGAGCAGAGAAAGAACTAGGTGAGCCCCGAGATGGAACTGTATAGAAACTGTTATTGATGTCATTGGTGCTTTGTCACTTTATAGAACTATACACCTACCCCTTGCTCCTGAGAGTGCTGACTGCTCATTGCTCACATTTGCTGCTTTCTTCAAATTATTATTCTCAATCCAGTTGGAATTGTATCACTAAGATTATGACCCCTGGTCACAAGGAAGCAGGCCATAGACATATACCTACTCTCTTGATTTCTGAAGTTAAACACCAGATGGGACTATGTCTTTGCTTATCTCCTTCCCCTGCCTACCTGCTTTACCTCATTCCCTGTCTACTGAGAGCATCTATTAATAAATCACATACATCTGAACCTGTCTCAGATTTTGCTTATTGGGAGTCCAACATGAGCAACCTATAACTCTCATTTCTTTTTTATTTTATTGAGAAATTTAATTGTGAAAAGACTGCACTTATAAAAAGAGAGTAAGTATATATTATGCTCATTTCTTGATCTCTTTATCCTCTATGACATTCAAGTAACACAATCTGAATACTAAATATTTAGTATGAGTGTGATGGTAAGTTATGTCCTCTTTTCAATTGTCTGTGAAACCAAACAAACACATGTCCCTCAGCTTCTCTTCCTCTATCTACACCTTATTTTAGTCATAATGCTATCACGAGGTAGGTATTATTATTCACAAATTTATACATGAAGAATCTAAAGGTAAAAATGTAAACTATCTTATAAAGTTTATAAGCAGTAGAGCTGTGAATTAAATCCATATCTTCTAATTCTAAGGCCAGTATAAATTGCATTCCACTAAAATAGTCTATCTTAGTGGACTCTCTTTTATGTCCTCTACTCCACCATAAACAAACACATTATTGCAAAATTTAGTTTCCTGTAGATCTCATACAGATATTCCTTTGCTAAAATGCTAGGTATTGATAATATATTTACAACAGTGTCTCCCAGGAAAGACTACACATGCTTTGTATTTATGAGCAGGGTAGACTGCAGAGTGGTCCACTGAACCAGCATGCCAACACATCTGTGAATCTCTGTTACACAGGACAATCTGATGAAGTCTGTAATTTAGCTTATAATTATGAAAAAAAAATAATTTGCATGGAGAAGAATTTCATGATGAATAAATTCACTGGTGCTATTGAGATGAATAAACAGCATGTAGTTACAGTAAAGCTAAGGTACATAAGAATATATACTAGGAAAAATTCTTTGTAAGAATTAACCTCCTTCTTCCAAAGAATATTATAATTATATAGTATGGGCTATAAAGATATTGAGTTTGAGTTAGGAAATAAAGGGTTAAATTTGCAGTCCTATGAATGAAAAAAAAATCATAAAAATGATCAGAAAGAGAGTGAGAAATATTAGAGACACTGAATAAACAAAGTATGATCTAATAAGTCGGCAGAGTATACCTTTTCCAATTACAAAATGAATTTATGCTAGGTGAGAGATAGATGCATTTCATTCAGTTGATTAACAAATAATTTCTGACTTCCTTATCAGGAGATCCAGATTTTTATGGAGTAAATTAAAGGTGATGTTTTTAATAATACTTATTTGGTATTATGAATATTAAATTAAATACTCAGAGTGATTAGACATGTTTAAAGGATCCAGGGGTCTCTCTATTCAATTAAAGAATGTTAATCATTTTTTTTATTTTATAGTCTAAGTTTTCACACAATATTATTGCTATGAATGAGCTCCTAGACAAAATTCAATATTATAAGAAATTTAGGAGTTTATGTCTCTAGACACTAGTGCTTGTCACAAGGCTGATGGGTAGCAGTGGCAGTGAATAGTTAAGAAGCACCATAAAAATGAAGAAGATAGGTTGGACTCTCCTGAGGAAAAATTGACAAATGGGGTCTGCACAGACTTGTGTAGAATGCTGAAGACCGACAAGTAATAGAAGGGTAAATGGGGTCAACTATATGGTGACAGAAGGAGATTTGGCTTTGGGTGGTGAACACACAATGCAATATACAGATGACATGTTACCTTCATCTATGTCATACATAATATAGGGCAGAAATTAGACCTACGTGTGGCACTGGAGCCAGATCTAGATAGAGCCAAGGAATGGCAAGCCCTGGGGTAAATATTTTAATTCAAAAAAAGTAAGATTTTTTTTTAATAATGTGGCTGCCTGAATACCTTCAAAACATATGTTCTCATGAATGTAGAGCTCTGTGGCCCAAAAGAAGACAGGCACTGACTGGATGACTCTTGTCAGGAAACAAGACATCAAAGGCTTTCATCATATAAGATGGAAGGTCTTTCCACATCTGAAAGGTTGTATGCTGCTATGATTCTTCCTTTCACAGGCAGTACATCAGGGACTGTGACAGGAATGAATGAGGTTTGGGGAAACACCTGCATGGCAGAGCCATAAATGGATACTTAGGAAAAGGAAGACAGTGCTAGAGCCCTGCCTACTTCCCCCCAGAGCTCCCTATAATCTGGCAGCTTTGAGTGCTGGTTGATAAGGACTAACAGGCGCTTCCTTTCTCCTTGTCTTTTGCCTCACTGGGCAGTTATCTTAACCCTGGGGCATCTTGCAACAAATGACTTTCCATTTGTTCTAAAGAAAGTAGTGTTGCCAGGAATGGTGTTAAACATAAGGAGTAGGAGAACTGTGCCTTTATCTACCTTCTGATGAAATGGGATAACAGCTTGAAAGTTATGTGGGTTACCTCAGGTGCTCACTACTTCTACCTCCTTTGGCGCCCGAAAAAAGACTTTCTTAAATCATCACCTCTAAGTTTATATTTCATACAAAGAGTTTTCATGCACAAGTACATCCAGACTTAAGTCATTCCCAAAGACTGACTCCTATTCGTGGCTTCCCAAATCCTACTGAGTTTCAGAAAGATGTAAGAGCAGAGGAGAGTTCCAGAAGAGTTTAACAGGATCCGAAAAGGCAGAAGTCAAATGTGATCTACATGTTTGACAACCTCGTGCCTATCCTATTTTAAAGTCTCACAGTTGGGCTAGGCTCCAGGATTAGTTTAGGAGACAAGGCTGAGACAAGACAATAATAAGGTTTCTCAGATCTGTGTCTCTGCCAGAATATGAATATAGTCCTTTCTACCCAGGTAAAAATGATCAGAAAGACTCAAGAATGTTAATGTTTCATTGATGTACACTACTACACTTTACTATGAGATACTTAAAGTGAAAGAAGATTTTTTATTTGATTTGAATTATTCTGGAGGCAAGAACTATGACTGCTGGGTAAGAATAAGAGACATAAAAAGCTTACTGTTGGAATTGATCACAATTGCATTCATTTGTGAGAAAATATCACTTCAAGAATGTAATGTCGAGTACTGAAATAAGCGATCTCATTTGAAAACAAGGAAAGGTAAATGTTAGGAAATGATTAAGCTTCATCTAAGTTTAGTGAGTTTAGTTGCTGCAGGATTCAGGAATAACAAAATCAAATGTATTTTTGATGATATACCTTCCTTCGAAGAGAGGATAAGAGAGAACAAAGTTCATTTGACAGCGTGGCTTCCGTTTGCTAGATGAAACTACAATTCTGTTTTCTGTCTGCATTGAAAATATAGGGTTATAGGACACAGCTCTTGGGGGCCACCTCTTTCCCCAAGAGAAGCCAGGAAAAGATATCCAGAAGCCTAATTATTCGTAGCCCGTAGCCTGAATGACCCTGGCGAACCATTTCTCTATACATATAACTTCACCAATTAATATCTTTATTCGTCTTCAGAGATAACATTTGCATCAGGTTCTACATCAAAACCCAGCAATTACCTCTTTCCTTAATTTCTGATGCCCCAGGTAAGGCTCTGGTGACTGTGGGAGAATGGTATGGAGATAACATAGAAGAAAATAAAGATGACTGCTCTTCTTGGAGTATTATTCCTTCATGCAAGAAGATAAATAGAAAGTGGAGGAAAGCTATCATTTGTCTCTATGGATTCTGTCCAGTATAACAAATTGCAATATGAAAGTTCAACTCTCTAGAAAATATCAACTCTTAGAGAGAAGCAGTGATACATATGTATT